AGGTAATGTTTTTAGTTTTTCTCCAATTAATATGATGTTGGCTATTGCTTAAGCTTTTATAAAATACAAGTATGGTCCTTTTATACCTGTTTTCTTCAAGGTTCTTATCATGAAGGGGTAGTGGATTCTATCAAAAGCTTTTTTTCTGAATTTATTCATATGACCATATGGTGTTTGTCCTTGCTTCTATTTATTTGATGATTCACTTTTATTTATGGGATGAAACTTACTTGATCATAATGTGTTGGATTCTATTTGCTAGTATTTTATTGAGGATTTTTGCATCTATAGGTTCATTATGGAATTTGGCAAATAATTTGCTTTTTAAATTAGGTCTTTGGATTTGGAATCAGGGTAATGCTGGCTTGTGTAAATGAATTTGGAAGCACTCTCTCCCTTTTAATTACATTGAAAATCATGAAGAATACTCATGACATAATATCCTTAAAGGTTTTTTAGAATTCAGTACTGAATCCATTAGGTCCTGGGTATTTTTTAGTTGGTAGATTTTGTTTTTATTACTCTCTATTTCACTGCTTGTTATTGGGTTGTTCATCATTTTTATGTCTTCTTGTGTTTGCTTTAGTAATTTGTATGAGTCTAGGAATCTATTTCTTCAAAATTTGCCAGTCTGTTGTATTAAAATTTTTCAAGTAGTTACTATCTTCTAGATTTTGACAGCGTCTTTTGTGATTTTTCTTTTTTCATTTCTAATTACATTGATGTGACTCTTTTGACTCTTCCTAAGTCTGGCTAAGGGGTTATATATTTTGTTTATTTTTTTGAAGAACCAGCTCTTCAATTTTTAAATTTTTTAGTGTCAATTTCATTTATGTCTGCTCTAATCCTTACAATTTCCCTCTGTGATTTTGGTTCGGGCCTGGCTTTTTGTTGTTTCTCAGATATCTTAGGATTCCTCATAAGGTTATTTATTTGAGCTTGTTTTGTTTTTCTTAATTAAATAATTGAATTTATTGGTACATTTTAGGGATACAGTATAGTTATATTCATTGTTGGGATCTTGTACCTCTACATGTTTTGGTTCTCATTTTTTCCCCTTGTCCCTGCCCTCCCTTCACCCCCTCCTTATGTTCATTAGTATTTGTTTTATGAAGATAGTTGCTGCTGTATTCAGAACGCAACTATTTATAAATGTTACCTGTTCTTGTTGGATTGTTCCTTCAAGTATTATATAGTGACCTTCTTTGTTTCCTCTATTTAGTTTTAGGTTGAAGTTCATCATGTCTGATGTTAGACTGTGATCTCTGCTTATTTTTAGGGTTCTTCTACATGAGATATTGTTTTCCATCCTTTAATTTTTTAAGTCTATGAATATATTTTTATGTTATATGAGTTTCTTGAATGTAACAGATTATTCGATTCTGTTTTTTTGATGTAGTCTACCAATCTATGTCATTTTTTTTTTGGTTTTTTGAGACAGGGTCTCATTATGTAGTTAAGACTGACCTGGAACTCACTGTGTAGTCCAGGTTGGTCTCGAACTCACAGTGATCCATCCTCCTACCTCAGCCTCCCGAGTGCTGGGATTGCACGCATGCACCACCATACCTGGCTCCAATCTATGTCATTTAATTGGAGAGATGAGGCCATTAACTTTAACAGATATTACTGAGATGTGTTATCATTGCATTCTTTGTTGGTGACTTCTTTGTTTTTCTTTTCTTGTCAGTTTTTGTTGCTGTTTATCTTAGTGTTTTTGTCTCATCTGGGTTTTTAGTTGTATTAGTTTCATTGTTTCTGTCTAGGATATATTTGAATATTTTATGAAGTGCTGGTTTAGGACTCACATATCTTTTGAGCTTGTTTTTTTTTTTTCATGAAATGTCCTAATTTCTTTATCTATTTTAAAGAATAGCTTTGCTGGATAATTTAATCTTGGCTGAAAGTTATTTGCTCTGAGGGCTTGAAATACTTCACTCCAAGCTGTTCTGGCCTTTAAGGTTTGTGTTGAGAAGTATGCTGTAATTCTAATTGGTTTATCATTATATATGTTTTTTTTATTTTTCTCTGCTTTTAAAATTCTGGGGTTTTTGATTGGGTATCTAGAAATTTAACAAGGATAAGCCTTGGTGAGCTTAATTTTTCATTATACTTGGTGTTCTATAAGCACTGTATTTTAAACTTAACTTAGAGAAATTTTCTTTTATGATTTCTATAAATATATTGGTAAATCCATTTGTTTTTCTTCTAGCTTTTCTCTAACTCCAGTTAGCCTTAGATTGGTCTTCTTAGTGTTGTCTAGTAGTCGCTGGATAGTATTCTCTTTAATTTTTTTGTGGCTTCGAGTACTTCATTATAATTTACCATTTTGCCCTCAATTTTTTTTTCTTTTTGGTCTTTTGAGATAGGGTCTTGCTAAATAGCTCAGGCTATTATTGATCTCACTATGCAGCCTAGTCTGGCCTCGAACTTCAGGTGATCCTTCTGGCTCAGCCTCCCAAGTGCTAGGATTACAGGTGTGTGCTATCATGTGGCATGTGCTTGTTTTCAATTTTAAACACTATCTTCACACAGATCATTTCTGCAGTTAATGAGTTCTACAATGTTTTATTTTAGGTATTTTTGCCTGACATCTTTTTGAGAATTCTACATTGTTATTGAATTTGTCATTCATGTTTTGAACATTTGGTCAGCTCTTCCAGTTTTTTACTTATATCCCCCGAATTCACCTCATTTCCTCTTTGAACTCATCTAATTTCTTTATCCCTTTTATAAACTTTTCATAGAGTTCCACTACCTGGTATTTATTTTCCTGCTTGTTTGTGCTCCTTACTCCCTTACTCTGCCTTAGGAGAGCTGGGAGACACTGAGGATTTTTTTTTTTTTTTTTTTTTTTT